TAAATAAATAAATAAATAAAAAGAACTGAAGCCACTCCCAAGCTCCACTTTTCAGCCAGATTAGACAGGCCTATAAAACAAACATAACACTGGTGGAAAAAGTGCTTCCTAGTTCAGTCAAGTGTATGAGACCAAATGGGCAACACCTGCCCAAAAGCAAAGACAAGAAGGCAGGAACAGACAGGAAAACTGGACTAATGGACATGGGGAATCCAGGGTAAAAAACGGGAGAGTGCTGACACAATGCAGGGATTGTAACCAATGTCATTAAACAACCTGTGTATAAATTTTTGAATGAGAAACTAATTGCACTGTAAACTTTCACCTAAAGCACAACTAAAAAAAAAAATTATATATAAAAAAAAAAAGAGCAGAGAGAAGGGAATGATTTATATATTGCTACAGTTAAAGGTCACTTCAGCCTCATCATTACTCTGCCCATCTCCCCCACCCAAAACAAATAAGGTAGGTATAGATGATGTCCAATAAATTGGAAGGAGCCAGAGGGCTCCCAGTTTTTGGATATGTGGATTAAGTATGTCAAGCAAAGGAACAGTGAGTTTGGAAACTGGCCTTGCAACAATCTCTACCGGAATGAAGCACAGATATCTCAGACTCAACACTTCCAAAGCTAAAGTTGTTACCTTCCCCTCCCAGTCCCTAAGTTCATATATTCAACAAATATTCAAGTGCCGCTAAGTGCCAGCATGTGCTTGGTTCTGGACATACACCTACTAGCAGAACAGATACATTCTCTGCTCTCAGAGAGCCAACAGCAGGTACTTGGCGGCTAACCCAACAGTCGGAGGTTTGAACCCACCAGTGGCTCCAGGGAAGAAAAGACCTGGTGATCTGCTGCCTTAGAGATTATAGCCTAGGAAACCCTATAGGGCAGCTCTAGTCTGTTACATTGGGTCACTATTAGTCAGTAATCAACTCGATGGCACCTAACAACAACAATAACATCCTATAATAAAGAGAAGCTGGACTATATGAAGAAGAACGTGGTGTCAGGACTGGAGGAAGACTCGTTAACAACCTGCGATATGCAGATGACACAACATTTCTTGCTAAAAGTGAAGACTTGAAGCACTTACTGATGAAGATCAAAGACTATAGCCTTCAGTATGGATTACACCGCCACATAAAGAAAACAAAAATCCTCACAACCGGACCAATAAGCAACATCATGATAAATGGAGAAAATATTGAAGCTGTCAAGGATTTCATTTTGCTTAGATCCACAATCAAAGCCCATGGAATCAGCTATTAAGAATCAAATGGTGTATAGCACTGGGCAAATCTGCTGCAAAAGACCTCTTTAAAGTGTTAAAAAGCAAAGATGTTGCCTTGAGGACTAAGGTGCGACTGACCCAAGCCATGTGTCTTAGTCATCTAGTGCTGCTATAACAGAAATACCACTAGTGGATGGCTTCAACAATAAGCAATTTGTTTTCTCAATCTAGTAGGCTGGAAGTCTGAATTCAGGGCATCAGCTCCAGGGGAAACTTTCTCTGTCTGTCAGCTCTGGAGGAAGGTCCTTGTCATCAGTCTTCCCATGGTCAAGGAGCTTCTCTGAGCAGGAACCCTGGGTCCAAAGGACGTACTCTGCTCCTGGAGCTGCTTTCTTGGTGGTATGAGGTCCCCAACTCTCTGCATGCTTCCCTTTCCTTTTATCGCTGTCTTTTTTTTTTTAAATTGTTGTAGTTTAAGTGAAAGTTTACATTTCAATTTAGTCTCTCATACAAAAATTCACACAAACATTGTTATGTGACCCTAATTGCTCTCCCTATACTGTGACAGCACACTCCTCCTTTCCATCCCCGATTTCCCATGTCCATTCAACCAGCTCCTAACCCTCCTAACCCTCGCTGCCTTCTATCTCACCTCTGGACAGAAGCTACCCATTTAGTCTCATGTATCTACTTGAGCTAAGAAGCACACTTTTCACGAGGATCATTTTATGTCCCACAGTCCAGTCCAATCTTTGAAGAGTTGGCCTCGGGAATTGTTTTGGTTCTCGGTTGACAGAGAGTCTGGGGGCTATGCTTTCTGGGGTTTCTCCAGTCTCAGTCAGACCATTAAGTCTGGTCTTTTTACCAGAATTTGAGTTCTGCACCACACTTTTCTCCTGCTCCATCAGGGACACTCTGTTGTGTTCCCTGTCAGGGCAGTCATTGGTGGTAGCTGGACACCATCTAGTTCTTCTGGTCTCAGGCTGATGAAGTCTCTGGTTTATGTGGCCCTTTCTGTCTCTTGGGCTAATAGTTTCCTTGTGTCTTTGGTGTTCTTCACACGCCTTTACTCCAGGTGGCTGGGACAAATTAATGTATCTGAGATGGCCGTTGGCTAGCTTTTAAGACTCCTCCTTTTAACTCATAAGATAAAAGGTGGTGCAGGCGACACCCTGGGGAAACTCCCTTTACATTGGATCAGGTATTTGACCTTAGTAAGGGTGTTAGGATCCCACCCTAATCTTCTTTAACATAAAATTACAATCACAAAATGGAGGACAACCGCACAATACTGGGAATTGTGGCCCAGCCAAATTGATACATACATTCTTTGGAGGACATAATTGAATCCATGACACCATGGTATTTTCAATTGTCTCATATGCATGAGAAAGCTGGACAATGAATAAGGAAGACTGAAGAAGAATTGTTGCTTTCAAATTATGGTGTTGGCGAAGAATGTTGACTATATCACAAACTGTCAGAAGAATGAACTAATCTGTCTTGGAAGAACAGCTGGAATTCTCCTCAGAATCAAGGGTGGCAAGATTTTATCTCACGTCATGCTTGGTAAAGTAGAGGGTCAGTGGAAAAAGAGGAAGACACTCAACAAGATGGATTGACACAGTGGCTGCAACAATGGGCTCAAACATAGCAAGGATTGTGAGGATGGTGCAGGACCTGGCAGTGTTTCATTCTGTTGTACCTAGGGTTGCTATGAGTCAGAAGTAACTTGACGGCATCTAACGACAACAACAACAAATTACAAAAATAAATGTTTAATTACACATTAATTACACATTAATTATGACAGTGCTGAGGATGGTGCAGGACCAGGCAGTGTTTCATTCTGTTGTACATAGGGTCACTATGAGTCGGAATCGACTCAATGGCAATGGGTTTTTTTTTTCTTTTTATGATAGTGTTAGGAGTTCCTGGCTGGCACAAATGAAGGTCACAGCCTTGAAAACCCTGTGGAGCACAGTTCATCTCTGCCACACATGGGGTTGCCAAGAGTTAGAATCAACTTGACTGCAATTAGCAATAATGACAACAACATGATAATGCCATGAAGGAAAGATATTCAGTGGTATAAATTTTTGGGTATACTACTGCTGATCTTTATGGGTCTATCATAGTGAATAAACAATATGAATTATTATAAACCATCCTGAGAATAAAACTTTTTAAAAGAAAGTGCTACAGTTTCCTGTTTAGGGAAACAATATACGATGAAAACCCTAATCTCCAGAATTTGATGAATTTCTGTGAAATTCAGCAATATTTGTGATAATGTTGACTTTTAAATTAAATACTAACTTGTGTGTCTGTTATTTTATGGTTCATCTAGGAGGTTCCTGGGTGGCACAAAAGGTTAAGCACTCAACAACAAGACAAAAGGTTGGAGGTTCAAACCCACCCACAAGCACCTCCGAAAACAGGCCTGGCCATCTGCTTCTGAAAGGTCACAGCCTTGAAAACCCCATGGAGCAGTTCTACTCTGCACTCATGGGGTCTCCATGAGTCGGAGTCCACTTGACTGCATCTAACAACAATGATTAACCTCATCATGTTCTTTGTACAAAAGGCTGTTGTGAGCTCTCAAGAAGATTTCGATTCACAGCAAGGATTGCTGAGGAACAGTACAATACATTCAAAAGGGTACTTTTTACTGTATCTGGTAGAATTCCAAAGCACTTAACACCCAGTTTCCTCACTGGGGTCAACTTGGGGGCTCCCATCCTAGTGAAGTGCAGCTACTTCTGGCCTGGAACACAGCTGCTGGTTAACAGCTGTACAACCTCAGAAGACCTCGACACTCAAGACCTTTAAGAGGAGCTCACAGCACCCAATTACATATCATATATCACTATTTTCGAATAACGCTTCATGTGTCTGCAAATGTATCTGCACTTCAGGGTTTATGCTTTTCAGCGCTTTCTCAGCTCGGTTTTGGCAACTTTCTTCTCCCTTAAGAAACCCCTTCTCTTTTTCTCGTATACCACTCTATTATCTACCAAATTTGACCTTTTTACTGAAGAGCTGGAGGAAGGGAGAATTAGAGAAGTGATTTTGTGAGGGAGAAGGTAGTGTTAATAATTTATTTTAAGGAGTGAGGGGGGCACTAACAAAACCCCCAAGCAACCTCCCACCAAGTGTCCTGTCCTAACTCCCGGGTTCCCTTCCCTTAGGCGGACCCAGGATGCCGCCAACCAAGAGAGGAGGACCGCAGCCCCTACTTGCCACCCTCCCTCCACCTCTTTGCCACCTCCGGCCGTATTTTCCGAACCCCCCCTAAAAAAAAGGGGGGGCAGGGATCTGAATTCGTCCTGGAGCTGGACTTCCAGGCGGCAATAGAGTCGCCGGGCGCGGAGGGAGGATGGCGAGCCCGTAGCCCCGCGGCCACTTTGATTGTTGCGTGCCTTCAACTTCACAGAGTGTGGCGCTCTGGGGGTGTGAGCGGACTCCGCCCAGCGCCACCCAGGTCCCCGCGCGGGAAGGAGCTGCGGCGGGGGAAGGCGCAGCCACCGCCTGCGGTGTCCAGGCCAGCCGCCCGCTTTCTTGGGGGCAGCCGCCCGCGGCGGCGAGGGAGGGACAGCCGCCGCCGGCGTTCTCCAGCCCCCGGGGTCGACGAAAAGGCCGTGCAGCACGGAAGCGCAGCCGCAGCTGAGGATCAGCTGCTGGAGGAGGCGGAGAAGGAGAGGGAGGAGCCTAGGGGGGGAAGCAGAGGGAGGGGACCATCAGGAAGCAGCGAAAGCCACCGAGTGTCTGCACACCTCGCTCTGTCTGCCATGGCTCGTTAAAGAACCATCCGGATCGCTGCGCGGGGGGAGGGCAGCGTGGGGGGAGAGCGGCGGCCGCGCGTGAGGCCGAGGGAGGGGCGGCGGCGCAAGCGGCAGCGGCAGCGGCGGTTCCAGCATGAAGAGGAGAGCTGGCCTGGGGGGCAGCATGAGGTCAGTGGTGGGCTTCTTGTCCCAGCGGGGCTTGCATGGGGACCCCCTGCTCACTCAGGACTTTCAGAGGAGACGCCTGCGGGGCTGCAGAAACCTCTACAAGAAGGACCTTCTCGGCCACTTCGGCTGTGTCAATGCCATTGAATTCTCCAACAATGGAGGCCAGTGGCTGGTCTCAGGTAAATCAACCCCCTTCCCCTCCCCACGCCTCCCGGTCCCCTTCCAACCTCCCCTTTTCGGTCTCCCTCACAAACCCCCTTCTGCCCTCCGTCCCCACCCCCTCCCTTCTCAACCCCCCTTCTGTGGGGGGAATGTTTGGTGTCAGATTAAAACCATTGCACTGGGAGGGAAGGAGGGAGGGAAAGGCGAGGATGTCTTCTGTAAAAAAGACCTAAAATGGTTGACAGGTCCTTAATTCGCTTTATCCGAAGTGCAAAGTGATCTCTCCTGATCACTGCCCTGAAAGTGTGGGTCGGGGCGGGGGGCCAGGTTACCACTTGACAAAGTTTGATGGGAAACTCTTCCTCCGCGTACTTTAAAAGGTGCGGGGGCTATTTTTGGGATTTGGAGAGGGAGGAGGCCGAGGCGCGCCAGAGGCAAGAGAATCTGGAGCCCCAGTCGCCGATGTCCTAGAGAAAGGGGCCTTGGGACCGGGGCCGGGCAATGACAGGGCCGGACGCCAGAGGGACCGGGAAGGGTCTGCGACTTGGGGTTGGTGAGAGTCAGCGGAGGGGAGGTAACCGGCAGGCGGCTTGTTGTTGGCCGCCCCCTCGGCGCTCCTCAGGGCCCAGCTCTATCTCCTTTCGTGCTGTGGTGGCCGCTTCCGCGTCTTGTTTTTATTATGGTTTGAAGTGTGGTGAGGGCTCTGGAAGCCAAGGGGCACCAGCTTGAACTTGAATGCGCAACTCGTGAGGCAGGGGGTGGGTAGGCGACCCCCGGGCGACTTGTTGGCGGGAGCCCCGCGTCTGCACCCCCTTTCCTGGCGGCTGCCGTTGCAGGTGGTCTCCGTGCCTCCTCCCTTCCCCCCGCGGGGCCTCGTTGTCCCCAGGCTCCCCCTCCGGTTTGGGCAAAGTGGCGAAATCGAGGCCGGGGCTCCGGCCGGAGAGTGTAGGCCTCGCTCTCCCCGGGCTCCTAGCGACAGGCAGCTGAATCGATAGCCTATCGCTCCCAGGGAGGCCGTGGCCCGGCGGGCCGCGGCGACAGCTGCCCCGGGGGAGGTGCGCCTGTTGCCCGGGGGCGGAGGGCACCGCCGCCCCCTCCTTCCTAGGTTGGAAGCCAAGGGATTGGTGCGGGATAGGGGTCTGCGGGTGGCGGCTCCCAGAAACCTGGTAAGGGGAGGTGGGCGGAAGAAGGGTGATTTGGCGTTCCCGCTCGCCTTCAGCCGTTCTCCATCCCTTTTCCTACATTGTGAGTGATGAAGGGGGAGCCCAGCGCTGGACGTGGCGCTTAGCTTCACCCGGGTCAGTCCTCGAATGGTTTTCTAATTTGCGTCAGTGGGCAGCTTGCCAGAAACTTCTGGGATCATGGCAAAGCATCTGTCTTCTTCTGGAGTAATAACAGTCGGAAGTGACACGGGTTGCACAGTCCAGTTGGGGGTAGCAGAGATAAGACTTGTTTGATCATTTCACGATAAACCTTCTGGGGTTTCTCCAGACTCCAGAGATAGAACTGTCTTGACTTTTCCACCCCAGATGGTTTTTTCTTTGACTAGGTAGATTTTGGCCTTAGATCATCCCTTGAAGAAACTTGATAATCCCGCACACCGCTGTATAAAATTTTTATTAAAAAAATTCCAAAGGCAAAAATGGGAAGATTTCTTTAAAGACTGAGCTCCCAGTTTTCCCCTATACTGCTTCTTCTGTATTCGTAATATTCCTCACTCCTCCCCAGACTGATATATTCCAACAGACATTTTCCCTCACACAAGTAAACTTTGCCTACTGGGCAAAGGAATTTGGGGGTACTCATTCATATACGACTGAACTAATAATGTTAATGAAATCACAAGTACAGTCATACATTGTCCAGTTTAACACATTTTAAAATAGCAGCTTTATTAAGATATAATTCACATACCATACAGATCACCCATTTAAAGTGAACACTTTTTAAAGTATTAAAAAGCTTCCTCCATTCTCTACTGGTTATTACTCCCCTTAGCCTTGTACAGGATCTTCCCCTAAGTCCTAAATGAATCCTATTTTCTCCAGTTTTAGCCGGTTGGTTTCCTTTAGCTTAGTTTTAGTCTATAGAAGAAAAGAATTCTTTCCATAGGGCAGCCTCTGGCAAACCTGGTTCTAGGCAATCATTTCCTTACTTTTCTAGGCCTGAGTTGCCCATCTCCATCAATACTTCCTGGGTTCCAACCTTCTTTGCCCCTTGCTCCTCCCTCTCTCCCTCCCACCCCACTCCCTGTAGCTCATTTCTTCCTGTTTCCTTTTTATCTACTGCCTTTGTTCTTAAAGTTCTTCTAGCTGACTTTTCCACCAGTCCCTCCAGTTTGGCTCAGATAGACTTAGCTTTCCTTATTTGTTTTGGTAAAGGCCTTTTTAGCTATTCACCTTCCATTATGAGTACAACTTGTGTTAACAGAAAGTTCCTCCTGTTTGCTTCAGATAAGGAAGCCCCCTTTGGGAATCATAATACAACTAGTTAAAGCTAATTAAATTTTGTGCTGGGAAATCCCTCAATAATCTTCCCAAGTTTAAAATTTTAAAGTATCATGTTTACATTTTCTCTTATCTATCATTGTTCCTCATTAGCAATAAACAACTGAAGGAGGCACTTAGTATTTTGAGGTTAATGTTATTTATCCCCAGTGTTTCACAATAATGTAGTGGGACACCAGACTCTGGGATGGTAATGAGATTTTTATGCATTTTTCTTGTTGCTGTGTCTTGTCTGCATTTGTTACAGCCCTCAAAAAAGGATGATTAAAAGGATAAATTATTTATGTTGTTCACCATTTTCATTTCCTAATTGTGCAGGCTTGCATTGCTTTTCCACATTTCTTGTAACTGACACATCCTATTTGATAGACTTAATCTAGACCCAGGGCAAAAATAGTATTTCCAGGATTCCTATGTACAACATATTATGGTAGGTCTTATAAAATGTTATTGGTTAAGGTTACATCACTTTTCTGTTCTAACTAGCCACTTTTCCAGGGTACAGTGAGGCCAGCAGGTATTAAGAATAAACCAGAGAAAGTTGGGAGGGAGAAGAGGTGCTTTGCTGGGAAGTGAGATTGGTGACAACAACAAGAGGGAGAAGGGTTATTTGGTATTTTAAAATATTAAAACAGTTTAACCTAAGAAGTGCTTTATTTTTCTTTGTGGTTGATCAAAAAAAGGCATCACTGTAAAATGTAAGGCAGTATGGCATAGCAGACATATGGGTGAAAATCATTGCTGTGTCGTTTGTTTTAATAACTAAACCTTTCTGAGTCTGTTTCCTCATGTGTACAGTGGGAATACCAGTGCCTGCCTGAAGGGCTGTTGTGAGGACTACATTAGACAGAAGTGTAGATTGGGTGCTGAACAGAGGGGCTCTCAGAAGAAATGCTGAGTTTGTTTTCTTTCCCCTTTGTACTTATAACATGTGATGTCAGTAATAGCTGACACTTTTGCTTACAGTATTGGTAATGGACCTGCGCAAATGGGGCAGGCAGGACAGTTTTGTGATCTTTTGATGTGGAATGAGGAGGCACAGTGTGGTGTGGAAAGACCCTAGGATTTGGCATCACATGATTTGAGTTATAGCTGTACAGTCATAAATTGTATGAATTTAGGCAAGTCCTTTCATTCTGCGTCTGTGAAATGGGGATAACAAAACTGCTCTCGCTACCTAACAGGGCTGAAGTGAGTTGGCAGTGAGATGCTGTATGTGAAAGTACTTTGTAAATTGCATGGTTTTGAGTGAACCTTACTTCTTATAAAGACAATTTATGCTTAATGATCGCGGTCTTTTGTGAATATTTATGTGTGTTCGTCCTTTGGAGGATGGGAGAACAACATGGTATGCTGAAGTGCCACTTGCAGGAGATCCTAACGATATACCAAGGAGGCTATGGTACTACGTAGTTTTAGGGGATGTCCTGAGTTTACCTTTTTAAGTCTTTGGTTGCATCTAGTACTTTAAATCTCTTGCCTTCTCTTATGCTTCCCCTTTTCCCTAGAATGGGATCTTTTATGCATTTTCTTAAAAGTCTTTTTCTTTTTTCTTTGGGGAGAAGATCGACATGGAAAGACCAACAAGAATGTAGCTGTTTGTGTCTGTCTTGGATTGTAACTCTGCCTTCTTACATTTTGTAAAGGGTTTGTACCAACAGAATCTTAGCAGTAAACAAGAATAAAAGATTCAGCTTTTTGGAGATGAGAGCTACTCTAATATTATTTCCCCTGGATTGAATTTAAGGCATTGGAACCTGTAGAACTAGCAGATTAATAGCCTGTGAATATGAAGTTTTGAGTTACAGTGAAAAATTATATCTCTTTTTTAGTATTTATGATTAAATTTAGGAAAACACCTGAAGCTTTTCAAATAGAGTCAGCAACTATGCTGTTACAGGAATGAGGTTAACTATTAATTACGTAAGTAGAAGTTGTGAATAGAGAGAAGCATTTAATCGCTTGGTCATAATATTTATAAATGGGCATAGCTAGCTCTATTTCTATTTCACATGGATTTGTTAACTTATTGATCATTATAAGAATCCACTGTTGTTGTTAGGTGCCGTGGAGCTGATTTTCAACTTATAGTGATCCAATGTGACAGAGTAAACTGGCTATAATCTTTACAGGAGCAGATTGCTAGGTCTTTTTCCTATGGAGCGTCGGTGTGGGTTCAAACCCCCAACCTTTCAGTTAGCAACTGAGCGCTTAACCATTGCATCACCAAGTCTCCTAAGAATCCACTGTAGTTATATAGAGAGACTGGAGTTGGACTGCCCAGGGGTGAATACCAACTCGGCAGCTTGCTGGCTGAGTTCAACCAGAACCAGTTGCCCTCTAGTCATTTTCAACTCATGGTGACTACACATGTTTCAGAGTAGAACTGTGCTACATAGGATTTTCAGTGGCTGATTTTTTTGGAAATAGATCACCAAACCTTTCTTCTGAGACTCCTCCAGGTGGACTTGAACCTCGAACTTTTCGGTTAACAGCCTAGCACATTAACC